AAAAAAAAAAAAAAAAAAACTAAAAATTGGCTCTTTGAAGGGATCAATCAAAGTGATAAGTTCCTGGCTAGATGGACCAACAGAAAACACAAATAACCAATATCAAAAGTGAAAGAAGGGCCATCACTGGAGATCTATAAACATTAAAAGAATAATAAGAGAATGCATAAATATTAGCACTAATAAAATAATTTTAATATAGTATTAATAAAAGAATAATAGATGACAATACAGACTGACGAAAGGAACAGTAACAATATCTGCTAATAAAATTGAATTTGAAATTAAAAATCACATCTGTGCTTGCTGCATATTTTGGTTATAATTGTTAATCTGTCCACAATGGCTTTCATTTTTAGCTTTGGAAAGCAAAAGAATATACTATTGATACATAACAATGTGCATGAATTCAAAATAATTTTGTTGAATGAAATAATTCAGGCAAAGAGTATATACTTTCATTCTATTTATATGAAATTCTACAAAATATAATCTATATCGAGAGAAAACAGGCCAGTGCAAAAAGTTATTGCAGTTAATCAAAATAATAATGTACTTGACAAAGTGTCAGAGTTTTGCTGTTAGATCATCTTACCTGTAGTATAAAGTGTTACTATAGATTGCAAATTTTAATCTAGTAAATGGAGAGCTGCTATATTTGGTTTACTATTTTGTTGACATGGAATCTTTGGTAAAACTCAACCTTTTTAAACCTATTATATATCCACAGTAAGGTCTTTACATTTCAGAATCCTCAAGAGTTTCTTTGTTTTTAAAATACTGTAGATAATTCTCTAGTAGAGTTCCAGTGTTAATGCAATCAAGACACAAAACTTTGTCACATCTACATGGGCACCATTAAGCATTTTTTGGTTAATCTGTAATTTCATTTTGACAACAGAAACACTTCACAGAGCACAGGGGGTCCCTTAACTGGGAGAGGGTGGAGAATTCTTATGACATATATTGACTTTATTTTATTGTTGTTGTTAGGTGCCATCAAGTCCAAATCATAGTGACAATACAACAAAACAAAACACTGCCTGGTCCTGCACCATCCTAACAATCATTGCCATGTTTGAGCTCGTTGTAGCCACTGTGTTCGTCCGTTTTGTTGAGGATCTTTCACTTTTTCACTTTACAAAGCATGATGTCCTCCAGGGACTGATCCCTCCTGATAACATGTCCAAAGTACGTGAGAAGAAGCTCTCCATCCTTGCTTATAAGGAACATTATGGCTGTACTTCTTCCAACACAGATTTCTTTGTTCTTCTGGCAATCCATGATATATTCAATATTCTTCGCCAACACCATAATTCAAAAGCATCAATTCTTCTTTGGTCTTCCTTATTCATTGTCCAGCTTTCTTATGCATATGAAAAGATTGAAAATACCATGACTAGGGTCAGGCTCACCATAGTCCCCGAAGTGAGATCTTTGCTTTTTAACACTTTAAAGAGGTCTTTTGCAGCAGATTGGCCCAATGTAGTACATTGTTTGATTTCTTGACTGCTGCTTCCATGGGCATGGATTGGGATCTAACTAAAATGAAATCCTTGACAACTTCAGTATTTTCTCCGTTTATGATGATATTGCTTATTGGTCCACTTGCAAAGATTTTTTTTTTCTTTATGTTCAGGTGTAATCCATACTGAAGGCTATAGTCTTTGATCTTCATCAGTAAGTGCTTCAAGTCCCCTTCACTTTCAGCAGGCAAGGCTGTGTTGTCTACATATCATGGGTTGTTAATGAGTCTCCAGTCCTGATGCCTCATTCTTCTTCATCTCATCCAGCTTCTCGGATTATTTGCTCAACATACAGATTGAAAAGCATGGTGAAAGGATACAACCTTGACGCACACCTTTCCTGATTTTAAACCACGCAGCATCCCCTTGTTCTATTGCAACAACTGCCTCGTTGTCTATGTGTAGCTTCTGCATGAACACAAGTGTTCTGGAATTCCCATTCTTTGCACTGTTATCCATAGTTTGTTATGATCCACACGGTCAAATGCCTTTCAATAGTCCAGAAAACATAGGTAGACATCTTTCTGGTATTCTCTGCTTTCAGCCAACATCCATCTGACATCAGCTATGATATTCTTCTTTCTTCATCCTCTTCTGAATCTGGCCTGAATTTCTGGCAGTTCCTTGTCGATGTACTGCTGCAACCGTTTTTGAATGATCTTCAGCAAAATTTTCCTTGTGTGTAATATTAATGATGTTGTTGAAGAATCTCCGCATTTTGTTGGATCGCCTTTCTTTGGAATGGGCACAAATATGGATCTCTTCCAGTCGATCGACCAGGTAGCTGTCTTCCAGATTCCTTGGGATAGAAGAGTGAGCGCTTCCAGCATTGCATCGGTTTGTGGAAACATCTCAATTGGTATTCCATCAATTCCTGGAGGCTTGTTTTTTGCCAATGCCTTCAGTGCAGCTTGGACTTCTTCCTTCAGTATCATTGATCTTGATCATATGCTACCTCGTGAAATGGTTGAACGCTGGTCACTTCTTTTTGGTACGTGACTGTGTGTATTCCT